TCATTAAAAAAATCTATTAATCTTAATTTTGGTAGCAGCATTTTGATGGTATTATTTTAATTTGCCTTAAACTGCATAACTCCATGAATCCATCTTGGTTTCATATTGGTGGTGGAGCTGGTGGTGTACTGGTACAGGTGATATTTTCAGAGAAAACTCTGGGCACTTGGATGCATTAATGGTGGTCATTTGATGCCAAAATCTGACTGTTACCTCTGGTAGGAATATGGACCATACCACAAACCCTAAATCATCTAAAACTGGTATTCTGAATTTGATCATGGTTACTATGCTCTAAAGCACAGGTGTCGAACTCCAGACCTGGAAGGCCACTGCCCTGCAACTTTTAGATGTGCCTCTGTTGCACCACACCTGAATATAATAAATAGGTCATTAGCAATGCTCTGGAGAATTGATCTACACAAGTAGGTAATTAAACCATTTCATTCCAGTCTTTTGTACCTGTGGCACATCGAAAAACTGCAGGACAGAGGACTGGACTTTGACACCCCTGCTCTAAGGGTATCCATAGTCACTAGATTTCAATCTAAAGGAGGACCTTTGGAGAAAGGTGAAACAAGAAATTCACATCTTGGGTTTGCAGCAGACTAATCTGATGTAACTGCACAATGACGTCGACATGGACCAAAATGTCTAAGAAGAAAAGAAGTTCTGAAGACAAGAGGTGATCCAGCCCAATGGATGACCACCGCTGGGGAATGTGTATCTTAAATTTTCCATTAGTTTACTCAGAAATGCTGAGATGACCAGAATTACAGTAATCTAAGTGCAATTCACAAAGCAAAACTAAACATAAACTAAACAAAACCAAAACGCACAAAATACTCATAACTAAAGTAGAATAGATAGAAGTCCCAGAGGCACAATTTGTATCCAGCCTGTCTTTTGCTGATCCTGTTCAATGGAACATCCATCTTGAAAGATGTTTGTATTACCTTCCACTATCACCACTGTTTGGTGGAATATTTTACAATGTATAGAGCCTAAAGCAAACAGCAGGGGCCCTCACCTCATCTTCAGATACCATGATCTCCATGAGAGTTCCCTGAATTTCCTATAAAGTAAGGGAAATTGCTGGGAGAGCAGTGATGTGGAACTAAAGGGAAATGCGAGAGATGAAATAAAGAACAAAAAAACAACGAGGGAGGGAAAATGGATAAAAAGAGGGAAAAAAACAATTACTAAACATTTATGACGTGTATAGAAGTGGGATGAGAGATAAAAATGAGATTTTGTGGCAACTGATATGACAAAGTCCTGAGAGAATCTCTCCTATTAGAGTTTGCATGTTTTGCCTATGAAAAGTATCCCTTGGATGTTTTACCCTTTTTGTTGCATCTAAAAATCAACCTTGTTCAACAAAAGTTTACTTTTTTGTCAAAAAAATTGGCAATCGATTCTGCCTTGCAAAATGTTCCGAGTCTGTCATGTTGCATGGGGGTCAGATGTGAACAGCCGTTTTCAGTCCACCCGTTAAGTTCTATTGGCTTAAGGTCTGGGCTTTGACTGTGCCTTTCTGGAAAACAAATGTTCTCTGAAACTGTAGTTCTCTTGCAGATTGAAACAGTTTGTCCTTCTTGATTCCCTGTAGTTTCCTGGATCCATTGTGCCTTTACAAGCCTTCCATTGCCTAGAAGCACCCCGATTCAATGATGCTGTCACCACCATGCTTCATAGTGGAATCTTGTGCTTTTAGTGATGTGCAATGCTTGGTGATTCCCAATCATAGCATCCTGTCTGATGGCCAAAAAGGCTCAGATGTTTCTGTCTGAACTTTCTTCCACTTGGCCATGGAGTCGCCATGAGACTTGATGTGAGTTTTCTTCAGCAGCGCCTTTATCATTGACTCTCACCCTTAATGCCTTGACTGGTGAAAAACCTTTGCAGTACTTGTTCTTGTATCCATAGTTTCTTCCATCTCAGCTGCTGAACTTGTAACTTCTTCAGTACAGTCATAGGTAACTTGGTGACCTATCTCACTACTCTCCTTGCATGGGAGCTAATAGTCTGCAGCTCTTTCTCAGTGAGCAGCAACAACCTCACTCACTGAGGAAACCATGCCAATGTGTAAGTCTTTCATGACAGCACATGCTCAACACGCACACAGTTGTAACATGAAAGTGACATTCCTCCTGCTTTGTCCAAAATCAACTTCTATTTTTTCTATCAACTTTCTGCTTAAGCTTGTGACGCTTAACAAGCTCAAATGTGTGATATAGCAGTAGCAGAGGAGGACACAAAGGACATGAGGAAGAAAACAAGGAAGAGAGAAGTGGGCAGATGAGGATGAGGAGGGAAACGAGAGAAAGGCAGAGCAGAAAAAGAATGTTCACTCGAGGACTGAGGAAAAATAGATGAGAGAAAAGAAGGGTGGAAAATAAAGAGGACATATTTTTTAAAAGCATCTGTCAAGTTATCAGGGTCAGATAAAAGCCTAATTCATATTTTAGTAAATTCATATTTTATTGACATTTCAAGATTTGTTTCTAAAAATCTTGAAACAAAGATTAAAGCACTCAAACTCAACTTGAGTTTGAGGTTAGAGTTTTGATTATTTTCTTGTACGCTGATATCACACAGTAGATAAACTGATGGAAGAAAGACATTTTATATTGCCTAGAGTAGTTTGATATTAGATTGTTGAAGGTATTTTCTTCACAATTTTGGAACTTACTTTCAGCTTCAACTACTTGTGAAGCTATACTTTGATGGACTGTAGTGGAAATTAGAGCAGGGTGCAGGTATATTCTGACAGATGTAATCATAAAGTTGTATTATACCATTGTTGACATTGCTGATTGAACATAAAAAATAATTTCAGGAAGAATATCGACAAATAGAGAATCTTGCCATAACTACTGTTATTAATTTTTAAAAACATTCTTTAACAACCTGAGGGTTCAATCCTGCAAGGCAAGTCAAAAGAGATCTGAAAAGAAAGGGGAGATTTATTTTTCCATGACACCCTCCCAAGGAATTAATATGATTTTTTTTCTGTTTATTGTCTTCCCCCCACCCCCAACAAAAAAAAAAAAAATGAAATGGATTTTTGCCCCTGGTAGGAAGTGTTTTCTTTAACCACATCAAAACAATTTTCTCCAATGTGATGAATCTGCAGTGTTGACGTGTGAAAGAAGATGTCCCGTCATGACTGACACCTTAAAAGCTTTTTGAACAGCATGTCACATAAACCAGACAGACATCCTGGCTATCACCTTTATTATTTTTCCATTGACTAAAACCTGCAGCACTCCAGCATGCTCGCTGCAGTAACACAAGCTGGCAGCATTTAATCTGCTAATGCAATTAGCCCAGTTTTCAACGAGACACAGATCTATAGGGAAGCAATTAAAATCCAAATTCTTCTCAGAGTGTGGACTTCACAGGGAAAAAAACCCTTTGACAATAAAGTGTTTGTTTTGGAGAGTTGATAAGTGATTTTAATGTTTTGGATAAAGACAATGCTAAGGAGGGAAATGGAGAACAGTAGGAAGGACAGGAGAAGAAAGTGAGAATGGGGAAGAGAAGGAAGGCGAAAATACAAGGAGGTTGAAAAAGAAAAGAAAACAAACTCAAACGAAGAAGGAAGACAAAGGAGCCTCACAGGACTGGAAAAATATATATATATATATATATGAAAATCAGAAGCAGAAGGCTTCAATAAGAGAAGTAAAAGCAAAGCTTTCCAAGTTCATTGCTGTCAACTTCATCGACAGCAGCTGAACTTGACATCACAGCGCTTGTCTTGCACAAGTTAGCTTTTACAGGCATCTGTACGGCCAAACAAACTCTACCTTAGTAGTGCTGTAGCGATACATCTAGATCACCATAGAAATGCAACATGATATGGAGTTTAGCACAATAATATAAGAAATTAACAATATTTCTATGAAACAAGAAAATGCTCTGAAGATTTACTGGTTAAACAATTTCAACATTGTTGAATAATCTAATCCAGATTTGACTATCTATGAAATGTTTTTTTTTTTTTTTCTTATCAAGAGAAATAATTCAACCTTAAATTTAAAGACTTTAATCAGCAAACTAGAAGTAAGAAAGGATAAAATGATGATGAAAATCAAATTAGTTATATGTACCAAGTAAAAACAGTAAATTATGAAAAAGTAGATAACAATAGAACCAATAAAATTATGTACTAATATCACAGTCCAGGATGTATTTAAATACTGAAAATCAAAGGATTGTATTGAAGAGTTTTTTTTGTGGGGGACATGAATTAGCTAAAAATTAATTAGGCAAATTGATAGACCTGGTATTATATGAATTTTCAAAGACTTTTTAAAAAATGTTCAAGGTTCTACATGTTGAATCTTTTGCCTAAAATGTAGATCATATCTGAATGCATCTACTGAAACAGAGTAATTAATCTGGTTTTATGATGCAAAGACTGCAAATCTGAGTCATTAAAATGTTTGTTTTTATGGTTGCAAGCCTTTTTAATGAACCAGCCTTTAATTGGACAAAGTATTTTAATTTTCAATATTTTTAATAGAGAAAATGTTTTCACACACTCATTTTTGAGATACAAATTGCCTTTTTGAATGAATTAAATCTGCATTAAAAGTTTCCAAAATAAAGTAAAGCTCTATGTTCTTCTGATCTGATCTTATTTGTGCATGTACTGTTCACATAGTTTCACATGATGCAGTTTTTAGGCTTTATTTTAGTCTTTTACAGGAGTTAAGGCTGGAAGACAAAAGTGGTAGCAAGACGATTAAAAACATTGATTAGAAAACATAAAGAAAAGGAGGAAGAAATGAGCAAAAGATAAATAGTGAAAAAGAGCAGTGATAAAGTATGAGAGGTAAATGCAAAAAGCGTATTCTCCTGTTTCTGTTCTTGTGCGTGACAGGGGCTGCTACTAAGATATTATCATCCTAATTCTTTACACAAACAACTAGCAGAAAGAGGGAAGCCTTCTCAGTCTGTTTAAACAAAGACAAACTTTGTTCACTGACCTTGAATTTCTCCTTTGGGCAACAGTGAGTCACAGGTCCTCCTCCCCCTGCAGATGAATGCTACAATATTTGTGTGTGTTTGTGCCAGGGAAGACGTCCTCCACCTCATCCGCTCAATCTTTTACCTGCAGGAAGACAACGGAGGACACAAGGGATGAGAAATGGCACTACTCTGACATTTTTGTGATGCCTTATCTTTTTATTTAGAAAGAAAGAATAGGAAGGCTTCTTTTAGCCTTGCAAATATCTGCAGTTCAAATAGTGGATATATGTTTACCTCAGGCAGTATTTGCAGATTTTATTTATTTATTTATTTATTTTTTTGCTCTACATGCTTCTTGTTTTGAATGTGTTTCTGCAAGCTTTCTCAAATCGCAAAGGCCTGAACTTCCAGAAAATGTAAATCATAAACCATTGACACTGGGTGTCTATCCAAGTTGAAAACACATCAATCTTTGTTTTGCATCTGTTAAAATTTGGTGTCAAATGTCCTTCACATAATTCAAATTCATATTTCAGCATCAAGAAGGAGACAAAAAGTTATTTCTTGCGACATGATAGACCAACAAAACCAATATTCTTTTAGAATTGAATTAAAGGGGCAGTGCCATTTTATAGGACAGGAAAGTAACCATGTCACCTTCAGTTATGAAAATGCTGTGTCAAACATGATTTAGAATAAAGTTGACTTCATAATTGAATGCCTTGAAATTGGGCCTTATGTCCGAGCTTATATGGAATTTCTCATATTATTTTACTCTTTTGTTCTTGTACCACCAGTTAAAGGTTGACTGGGTTTATGTGCATTAAAATCTCTTCCACCAGTGAACCTATTGTTTCCCTCAGCAGTGCCCCATCATCCAGATTTGGGTCGACTTAAACTGAAGTCACACATTTATCACTCTGGCCTTGTAAATAGCTTCAGCATTTTTCTAGGCAGGTGCCGACAACTTACATAACTCAACACGAAGCCGGACTCAGTTTGAGCTAAGTGCCGTGCCAATTACAGCATGACACCCCCATCCATACATATTCTCAAGGATATTAATAATTTATGATACATGCCTTTATTGATTTTGAGCCATCTCCTTGGCTTTACTTTGCTAAAGTTAGGTCTTATGGTTGAATTTTTTTTGATAGCGTCTTCACTGAAATCTCATTTCTTCCAATTAAGAAAAAAAAAACATTACACAATGAAAGCTGGTATTGAAAATATGTCGATATGTAAAGTTTTTCTAAAAGTATCAACTTTATATTCACTGATCACATGTAACATTAAGCCTAATATGCCTAATATGCTTTGAGACATGGAAGCCACGACACTGATGAAGATGTTCGGAGCAGATCCTTAAAGTCCAATGTCCCAAGGTGGAAGCTCTATTGATTGGACTTGTTTGTTAAGTACAATCCAACATTTATTTGGATGTCATCACAAAACCAATAAAATGAAGATTGGCTCCTTAAAATATCTCACCTAACAATTTGCAACGTCGGGAAAACAGTGTTTTTCACTTAACTTGTCAGTGGTCATAATTTTATGTCAGATGAACATACTCATCATTCTCCCAAAAGAGTATATCCACAAATTATATAGATTCTAAGGGTGTGGCAGTTTTTAGTTTTTAGTTTTCCTTTAAAAGCTGAGGTTTACCAGTCTTGTTTTGGAGTTATATGCTTTTAATTAATTTGCTTTATGCAATTTGTAAATATGTGCTTTATTCTGTGTTATATTTAACACGTTCATCTACAAAACCTCACTTATTTGGTGAAATAATAAAGATAAAATAAGAGTTAAATTTCTATTTTAGGATTCCCTTCAGCCAAATTTTTCAAACAGAAACCTAATTATTTAACCTGAAAAAGCCTCTTTTGATTCTAGTTTCAATTCCAAATTTACTGTCAAATTAAGTTTTATATATATATATTATATATATATATATTATATATATATATATATATATATATAGAAACTAGAGAAATACCAGGGCCTCAGGGAGGAACTGGAGAGGGCCTGGAAGGTGAAGACCACAGTGGTGCCTGTGGTCATCGGTGCCCTCGGGGCAGTAACCCCCAAACTGGAGCAGTGGCTACAACAGATCCCAGGAACAACATCAGACATCTCAGTCCAGAAATGTGCAGTCCTTGGCACAGCCAAGATACTGCGCAGAACCCTCAAGCTCCCAGGCCTCTGGTAGAGGACCCGAGCTCAGAGGATAAGAACCACCCGCGGTGGGTGAGAAGGGAATTTTTTTTATATATATATATATATATATATATATATATATATATATATATATATATATTATATATATATATATATATATATATAACTCAGCATTAAATTGAGCCTTTCACCTACTCTTGACTCATAAATTTACACTTAACATGATACCCTCCAAATGATTTTAATCCAACACTATCAAATTGTTGCTAATTAAAAAGGAAAGCCCTTGACGCGCTTCACTTTCCTGCTGCCTTCAGCTTTCACTGCACAAACACTGCAATGTTGAAACATGATGAAAGGTTAACGAGGGGTGGTTTGTTTTCCAATGCATCACCAATTAAGACAAGTCAGCATTTATTTGTCCTGTAATGAATCATGGCAAAAAGCTCCGCAAAGTGGATCATTTTAAGCTATCCATTGGCAGTGGATATTGAAAAAAAAAAAAAAAAAAAAAAAACAGCGTTCCTTCTGTCTTTGACAGCTGCCTCAGTCATTCACTGCAAAAAAAACAAAAACAAAAAAACACTTGATGTCATTACTGAATGTTTACAGAAATAATTTCAAGAGGGATAGAAACCTTGACATTGTTTGTCAAATGGGTAAAGATGTCATTATTCCGCATGATTCACCAGTTTCCATACCTGCCGTGAGTTATTACTTCAGTTTCCAACCTGCGGCCTTTTCAAATCTGAGGTTCTAAAAAAATGCAGCAAAATAAAACGACAACATGTGACATGTGACAGTGTGCCTTATCTGCTCAGAATTACATGCATAGATTGCCTGTATGTTATTTTGCATTGGAGACTTAAAATGTGTTTGCCTACATTTCCACTGGGAACATGCAATTGAAAACAAACATATCAGCTTGAGTCCACCCCCTGCTCTGTCTTATATTTTCTACTCAAGTGCCTGTCTCTCTGATGCCTTATTTGAGTCACCTTTCTGTGTTTGCTTCAGTAGATTGTTCTGCAGCTCCATTAGCAAAAAAAAGTTGTGCTCAGACTCTGGCAGGTTGACACCAACTCTCAGTGAAATACTACCTACAGCCAAGTCCAGAAGGTTATTAGTAATATTTCTATAGAGAAAAACAAACTCTTTGAAATTGGATGAGACGTATACAAATTCAATGTATAAAAATGTGAATGAAAGTCCATAGTTGATCAGATTCACAGTCAGAGAACCATCACAAGATTACCAATGTCATTAAAACCTGCCATATTTAAATGTTAGTGCTGCATCATGCAAACACTGCATTAGTATCCTGCAGAAATATCCAGTGATAATAAGAGGATTTTGTGAATGCTGTACAGAGTGCTGACCATAATTGCCAGAGCACTGTATTCATCAACCCCACTGCAGTCTGGAGTTGGAAGCTGTTTTAAGATGATTTATTCTCAGATTTATTCTCTTGGTCATATTACCAAGACAGGGTCAACAAACAACTACAAATGACATTTGTAATTCCAGCTGGAATTAGTGATATTGAGTCGTACTCAGGCTAACTAAACTAGAAATGTCCCTTTATAACTGCAGTTATACATTTTACAGGTTTTTACAAATCTTCAGAAGGATTGCTGAAAAGTGTAGAGTCCTCTTTCTCTGACCCACTTTGGCCAGTTGTTGGCCTCTTTAACACAGTCACCAGCACCTGATAGCTTTTCTCTGAGAATTCTCAATCAGGCATGAAAGAAAGTTTTATAGACAGGTACCCCGGCTGTACATAATCAAAATTCAGTTAATTCACTATTGGTTCCCAAAATTAATATACTTGGAAAAACAAATTTTTCATAATTTCATTTATAGGCCACACAAAATGTTATATAGTGTCATTACGCTTAAATTAATAAAAAAAAAAAAATAACTAAAACAAAAAAATGCTGCTGAGCAACAAAACGTATTTGCCACCATCCAGGTTTTCTGTTTATGTGTGATACAGAAATATTTCAGCTTATCAAACCATTTTGAAGATCAGCTATCATGATAAAAAAGCAACCCCAGAGCCTAACAATATAAATATTGGCTCAGCAGTGGTTTTGGCTTTGAGACTCCTTGAAGGATGGCGTTTTGCCTTCCTGCTGATCTGGGCACACATCTTGACTGTGGAAAGTGAGGCCTGCAGAACTTAAGATGCTGGTGTGTACCCAGTGGAAGTGTACACTTAAAAAAAATCTGAATTGCTTTTTCTTTTATCTATTTGTGAATTATTGTTTTCACTGTGACTTGCAGGAGTACCAAAGCTTTTGATAGTGTAACCACTTTCCAGACACTGTAGATTTAGAGCATAATATGTTTCCTTTGGAGGTTTTTTAGTCTCCAGTTCAGGCTATTTATTTCTGCAAATCAGGCAGTAGTGAGCCCTAGGTGTGACAAGTGAAAATGAACTCAACTTTCCAAAAAATATTTCAGTATTTAACAAGGGAAAGAAATTAAATTGTTTTTAGATATTAGGCCAGGATTGTTTGACCAGCTTTCACCCCTTAATGACTAGAAACATCATTTGAAAATTGCTTTTTGTTTTTACTCAGAGCACTCAGTTTGATGTTGACATTTGGTGATTTAAAAATATTTAAGTGTGACAGAAAAGGAAAAATAAATGTCAGCAATAACTCCTTCAAAGTTCACTTTGACTATTCATTCACAAAAAATTCTGAGTAAATATTGATAAAAAAAAAAAAGAAATTTAATTTCAAATATTTGGGGACAGCAGCCTCTACATAACATATTATCAGTTTGGCACTCTGTGGTTCGAGCATGTCTAACACTTTCTGTATACCAAATATGTAAGCACGTAGGCGCGTGGATTAAACATTTATAATAGCACCCAGGCTAGCTAAGCTTTGTCACTGAGCAGATTTACCTTGCTGTTAAGCTTCTTATGGCACCTGTCAGCCCCCTTTTCAG